TTGAAAAAAAAAAGTTCCCGGAGAATTTACCTTTTCCCTCGTTATCTTCACGGTGAAAAACAAGGGAAATAATCCAAAGCAAAGCTCATTACAAATTTACCTAAGGTAGTGTTTGGCAACTAGCATTTTATTTCAATTCATGCATTTCAATTCCAGGATTTGAAATCTTGAATTTCAAATGACAAGGGGAGGTGCATGGATTTCAAATTAAGCTTTGCTATAAATGAGGGGAATTTGACTCAAATCCAAATTCAAAATTTTTGAATTTCCCAAACATGGAATTTGAGTCAAATCCGGATTTGAAATCCAAATCCATGTTCCCAAACATGCCATAAAGCAAATTTCCCTTTTTTCACTTTGAAGATTTTTTCACTTGTTGCTTTATCTTATTTATTTTGGTGTAAATTCTCCAAATACTACTCAACAGATATATGTTTTCTCAAATGAGTTCCAAAAATGCATGAAATAATTATCGAGATAATAGTCGTTAATTGAATATAATGTTCAATTTAATTTCCTAAATAATGTCTGACAAAATAATGTCAAAACAACATTAAAACTTATACGAATTTCTTAAAATTATCGTTGTTTCTGTTTTCTCACACGGGTCCTTTTTCAAAGTAAAAACTTATTACATATGGGAAAATGGTTTTACATTATATACGATGAGAATATAATAAAAAAAACTATACATATAATTTTAAAAACTTGAAAGTAAACAATTTAAAATGTATACAATTATTTAGAAGAATACTATGTAAATACAATATTTTGCAAACGTTATTTCTTTGCCTTCCCATGTTTGAAATAAGAAGCTATTTTCAAAAAATTACAACTAAAAATTGGCTAATTTTAAAAAAAAAATATAAAGAAAAAGAGAAAAAAGACAGCAATAAAGCGCCGAAAAAAACGGGAGGAGAACCCGTCTTTCCCGTTCCCGCTAGGGGGGGGGGGTTCCACATCTTCCCCACGGTGCCACGTAGACATCCCGCGCGCGGGACCATACCTAAATATGGCCCGAGGTCTATAGGATAGAAGGACCATATATAGTACTGTAGAATTTGATAAGAGGAATCAGCAGTGGGTTCAGGTTCTGTAAGATTGGGGGTAATTTGTGAATGGAAGGGAAAATGGCTTTCAAAGAACTTGACATCTCGACTGACAAATATTTTATTATTGTCCAAATCGAGAAGGCGCCATCCTTTTTGGCCGAATGGATAGCCAAGGAAAACGCAGCGTCGAGAACGGGACTCAAATTTGTCTCCATGGTGGGATTGATTGTGGGCATAGGCAAGACATCCGAAAACCCGGATATGACTATATGAGGGGGTTTTTTCATAGATCATGGAATATGGGGTTTTGCCTTTGTGTAGCTCAGAGGGTGTTCGGTTAATTAGATAGGCAGCGGTGAGAATACAATCACCCCAGAATTTAAGGGGTAGGTTGGCTTGGAAGCGAAGGGCTCTAGCAATGTTGAGAATGTGACGGTGTTTTCGTTCGACTCGACCATTTTGTTGTGGGGTACCGACGCAAGAGGATTCAAAAATAATCCCATGACTCTCAAAGAAAGATTTTAAACAAGTGAACTCTGTACCATTGTCACTTCGTACAATTTTCACTTGTTTATTGAATTGTCGCTCAATCATGGAAAAGAAACTACGCAAGACAGTAGGAGCTTCATATTTATGATTTAATAGATACACCCAAGTTGCCCGAGAAAAATCATCAACAATAGTTAAGAAATATCTAGCCCCAGTGCGAGACGGAGTACGGTACCCACCCCATAAATCACAGTGAATCAAGGAAAAAGGAGTAATAGATTTATTCAGACTAATTGGAAAAGAGTCACGACATTGTTTTGAACGAAAACACACATCACAAGGGGAATCAGGGATATTGGTATTTTTGGGTAAATGGAGAAAAGTGTTGACAGTGGTGTAAGAGGGATGACCCAAGCGCTTGTGCCAAATGTCCA